AGAACCAATAACTACTAAGTGTTGCTAAGGTAGAGGAACAGATCAGTGGGTCATCACCAAATCAATAGGTGACCCATCAATCTCCCCCTATTTGATGATGACACAAACACTTAGAAAGAAATAAATACAAGAAACACAAACTTTAAAATTCTTTGAGAAGAAGAACTTATAAATTATGTGACCCATGTACATATTCTTTTTTGGTTCTTTTCTTTCCTTTTTTTTTGGAACTATAAACGTATATACAAACAAATAATGAATCAGAGATAAACAAATAAATAATGAGAAATTTAAAATAAATACTGAAAAATCAAATTGCATTTATACTAGACAATGAATTAAATACTTACATGAAGAATGTAGTTCAAGAAGAAGAAGTCACATAGGAAAGCTAGCAATCATCGTCTACTTCCATAGCATTTGAATCAGCCACTGCAAGAACATCTCTTCTCTTCAGTTCATCCGAGATCAAAGTATAAAAGACTCTTCCGGCTTCACCAATTTTCATTACACTCAGTATCCGCACAATAGCTGAGAATCAGCTATAGGTATCTCAGAAGCTCAAAAAAATCGAAGGCAACTACTCGCGTCCCAGAAGAATATTCCATACTCAGGAGCGGACAAGATAGTTCCTTCCGGATGACAAACATCTGAAGCAAGGGTAAGATCAAAATGTGAGACATCAGGAGCCTTACCTTCCTTTGATAATTTCTGAATAAGCGAGTCTTGATTCTTGATGGTCTTCGAGGCAGAAGCAGATTTAGAAGAGCCAGCTTTGCTTAACACTTGCTTAAGAAAGGAGAGTTGTGGAGGGGAAGGCAGCTTGTAATGCATCTTGATCATTTGTATCTTTTTGAGAAGGCGATACAAATGACTCAAGAAAAATTCCTTGTACATGCTTCTGCTTTTACTTAGAAACTTGATGATCTTCATCCACTCATTAAGACCGTAGGAATGGATCCAAGACAGCTTTTCTGTCCTCACTGCTCCGTTTTCTCGACCAATAATCAAATAAATCAGATTGGAATCATAGGTCAATTTTTGAGGACCTTTGATTCTGGCATTGACAATTCGAGTAGTAGTGTAGCGTCGGAGAATTGAGTCATTAAACCATTTAATTCTTTTCTTTTTGGTTTCTTCAAACTCAGATCGTGGGACTAAGGAGTGAGATCTGTTGGCTTCCTCAAATTGCTTTTGAAGAGCAATTGAGTTGGCCGCATCCTCAGAAGAAATACCTAGGAGATAAAGATCAGTTTCTTGAGGACATGAAGCTTTAAGCACAAGTCTGTCGGCTGAAGGAACTGCAGATTGATGTCTAGCAATTTTAGCTTCTTTAGCTGCAGCAGCTTCTTCATCTGATGTCATGGGTGCCTTTCCTTCTCTATGAGTTTGGACTAAGTCCCCAGAAGTAGTGGAAATATCATCTTGAGAAGGGATAGTACCAACCTCAACAGATACTGAAGGCATAGAACATGGTTGCTCCCCCTCAACAGGTGATGTGGCTCTATCATCATGATCAAATAGCTCCCCCTCAATAGGAGCATCACCATCTGACTCAGCTGAGGATGAAGAGGTAGAAGAAGTAGAAGCTGAGTCGTCGTCCCCGTTGTCACTGGTAGAATGATCAACTGTCTTCTCCCTCTCAGTGGGAACAGGGGAAGGTCCACTAGCAGGAACAGAAGGACCCTCCACATCGGCAGGTGGGGAAGGCACAGAAGCAATAACATGAGAAGTAGGAGTAGGAGGAGCACCTGAGGCACGTAGCAGACATGATATACCGCGATGAAGACTGCCAAGAAGAGCATAATCGGACTCAACACGTCGACTAACGGTGGCTAACATAACCCTGTCCTCTTCCGTAAACTGACTGGGACCCAAGTCAACAGATAACTCGGTATCTCTATCCAAGAACAGCTTGGATATCTGTATCTGGGCATCCATCTTGGAGTGAAGATCAGTCAGAGATTGAAGAATTGCCTAATTTGTGGCAGCTTGACTTTCCGACCGAGCACGAAGATCAGCGAGCTTCAGAGATGCTGGATTGAGAATCAGATAGAGCAGTCATACGAGCATCCAGAGAATCAAGGCAGGAAAGCCTTCTCATGCTAAAGGAAGGAAAATCAACCAGTGTTTTAAGAGCAGAGAAGGCAATGCCATGATCT